CTCTATAAACTAACATAACAGCCATATAAAGTATTTTATAATTAGTATTTCTATGTAAACGAGTTAACATTGGAATGTTTTAAAGTGCTTGATGGCTCGAATAAAAACTTGAAAAACGTGTCTCCAGTTTAAAATTTGCTGATTAATGTATTAAACTGTACAAATTTAATGCCTGATAACACATTGCAATTATCTTTGTGAAGGCATGTTCTAAACTTCATCATTGTCACCAACGACTCTCAGTACAATCTTCATTTTCAAGATCACCATCGTCATCATCATCATCATCGGCAGCATTTACAACATCATCGTTCCCATCATCATTGTCATCATTATCAACATCAACAACACTATGCTTCTCTAAATTACAAATGAAATCAAATAGTTATGAATAGCACAATCTACTTGTTCAAGGGTAGCCCGTGAACAGGCTCTCTGTTCGGAGAAAAAAATAGCGATTTCCCTCTCCCCACCCCGCTCGACCAAAGGCCTGTTCACAGGCAGTTCAAGAGCATCCCCACTAAAGATATTCAGTTCCCTCACTTATCGAAATCCTTTGAGATGGAATTTGGGCCTCAAAAAGTAGAGTGCTTGTACCTTTATATCCTCTTCTTTGTATATTTTTTATTTCTCAAAACTCAGTGAACCTTTGGTTACCTTTTGTTTTTAGTTTAGTAATTGGTCACGCTGCACCGAAATCACGTGATATCACCCATCTTCGCCACCTTTACACGATGGATGTTCAACAGCTCTTTACAGTTCTTAAGAAGGAAGCTGAATGCCCACTGTGTTTGGAGACAGTCAATAATCCCAAAACTTTGCCGTGCATTCACTCATTCTGCCTCGAGTGTCTAGACAAGCATGCAAATTTTGCAAGAAGACAGCTACAAGCGACAATCAAATGTCCAGTTTGTCAGACATCATTTCAAATTCCTGAAGGAGACTCGTTCAAGAATTTGCCTGCATCTTATCATCTCAACCGATTGGTGGATGTTCTCGCTCTAAAAGATGGCGGCACACAGACCCAGAAATGCAGCAGTTGTGATGAGAACAACACCGCTTCCTCTTACTGTTTTGTCTGCCAAATTTTCCTCTGTACTTCTTGCTTTGAAGCTCATCAACGCTTGAAGACTACAAGAGGTCATCGCAATGTTGTGATAGAGAAATTAAATGTGCAAGATGTTCAAGAGTTGATCCACAGACCCGCCATGTGTTCACAGCAATATCACGAAAATCAACCGCTGGAATTCTATTGCGAAGAATGCAAAGTTCTTATTTGCCACAAATGTAGTGTAGTTAACCATAATCGACACACCATGACAGACACTCAGAAAGCCGCACAAGTACAGAAGATGCAAATGAAGGACGCTTTGGAAAAAGTGAAAGCGGAAACTCTAATTTACGAGAACGAAATAAGGAAACAAACCGAGCTAATGGAGAAAACCGAAAATGAGATTTCGTCAGCGGAAAAGAAGATGACAGATGCCGTGGAGGAACGTATCCGTGAATTACGGGAGAATGAGAGGGTCATGAAAGCCAAATTTGCTGAAATTTATGAAGCGCAACAAAAACATCACGCCACACGACTAGAAAACTTTGAGTTGGTTTTGACTCAACTGCAAGCTGCATTGAGCGAGGTGAAAGCGCACTAGAAAGAAACGTCAGCGCTGAGATTCTTCAAACAAATCAGATCATTGTTGGACGCTGTAAAGAACTTTTGAATGTAACAAAACCTGACATTTATAAACCACCACACGTTCATTACATAGTCAAAAATCAACTGAATCCGGGTTTGGATCGAATTGTGGTTAGTAATACAGATCCCTTACTTTGCTCAGCGGAAGTGGACAATCAAGAACTTCTAAGAGAAAAAACGGTGGTAAATTTCATTATTGTAACTAGAGATTCAAGTGGAAAGCAGTGTTATCATGAAGATGATCAAGTCAAAGTCAACATTATAACTCCAGCTGATGATCAACTGGAAACAGAAATAAAAGACACCAAAGACGGCAAGTACACAGTAACATACACACCCCAGTGTGTTGGACAACATAGAGTAGAGATCCAAGTTAATGGACAGCCGCTGACTGGTAGTCCCTGGGTTGTGCAGGTGATTCCGCATCAGTATCAATTTGCGTTTCAATTTGGATCAAAAGGGAAAAAGCAAGGACAGTTTGACGATCCTTGGGGTATTGCTGTGAATGATAAAAGTAGAACACTTGCTGTTGCTGATTATACTAATAAAAGAATTCAGATGTTTAGCTTTGATGGGAATTTCTTGAGAGAGATTGCATTGGAAGCTGGAACGTCTTCGGTGGCTTTTACCGAGTCTGGTGAGCTCCTTAGCAATGTCGAGCGTGACGACAATAAACTTCCCTTGCACACTGAGGGTGGTCAATTCATTCGATACATCAGCGATGAACATGTGATGATACCGTGGTACATATCCGTTGCGAGTGATGGTCGCATAATCACATGTGACAGGAAAGACAAAACAATCAAAGTTCTCAGCCCTGATGGGGAAGATTTACTTCAGTCGTTCAGGGCTCCTGGTTGTGATGCGGAGCCATTCTGTGCTGTTTATCACCAGTGCAAAATTTTTGTCTGTTATCCAGACGCTCACCGTGTCATGGTATTTAACATCGTAGGGGAGTATCTATATGACATTGGCATTGAGGGATCTTGTGACGGGCAGTTCTCGGGTCCCACTGGTCTCGCTATTGACAAGTTTAACCGTTTGATCGTTTGCGATGGGGGGGACAGTAGACTGCAACTTTTCACTCTTGACGGAAAATATGTCGCTAAGGTAGCTGGGAGTTTTTTTGACCATGATACCCAGCTTGCCGGGTGTGCCGTGTCTAATACTGGACATTTGTTTGTTACGAGTGACAACAAACACCGTATTTATGTTTTCAGTTAGCATTGTGTGCAAATTTAACACCTTTTGAACAGAGACCTTAAAAAATATTGTTTCCTTGGTACTGATTATCGTTAACGCTCTCTTGATTAATCCAGCTGAGAGGCTGAACGTTAAAACTTGAAACGAACTGAACTTACATATGTACATAACATATACTCTGGAAATGCCTACAATTGTCACAAGCTGTACATATATTCAAAACTAGCGGCAAAAAAGTAGGCAACTTCAAGTTCTTTCAAAATCACTTTTCAACGCCAAGATCGTATCCTAAGACATTGAAGTCCCCCCTCTTGCCCAGCAACTATGCTGATAGTCCGATTTTTCAATGCTGATATTTTCCAGCAAAAAATACACGGAAAGGTGGACTCTGCTAACAGGGAAATGCTGATATAATTGATTAGATTGGGAAATAACTTTTTTTGAACAGTTAAAGAGAAAAGAAAGAATACGTGGAATCATGTTATTTGGCAAATGAGAAAATTGACATGAGCGTCGAACAGAAAAGTCTACTAAGAAAATTAATAAGCGCTGCATTGCTTGTTTTATAAAAAGAGCATTGACGGTTATTTGAAGAAAAAATGAAAGAAGTCAACAATAAATAAGCAACTGTCAAGGCTTGAGGCAATTGTCGGCATTTTGCAGGCTACGTTTTCTTGGAACCGACAGTTTTGTCGCCTGAGATATGCTTGCAAACATGTGACCGCAAAGTAGCCATCCGACGGTGGTAAGGATATTGCCGGTGCCTGTCGCATGTTACCAGCGGTACTCTGGAGCTCTTTTGTGAGGTCGCTGATGTGATGAGCTTATAACAAGTAGAAAGACACGAAACGTGCTTTAGCTTGCATGTGTCTAAGGTTCGATTTAAACAATACCTTTCATGATGTAGGTCGCATGCAAAAAGTTGTCCGAGTTGAATGTCCTTGATATTAACAACACATAAACTAAATCTACTTTCAAACAAACAACCACCAACACAAACGTTGCTCTAGCATTTTGATATTGGTATAAAAAAAGCTCGTTTATAACATGGAGTTCAAATAATTGATATATTTACAGACTTCCATGTACAATTAAAGCAAAAGCACAAACTACGGCAAAGGAACAGCGTTAACTTTCGAAAAGTAGATTGCCTAAATAAGAGGTGACAGGTGGCACTGTTGCTAAATATTAGGAAATTAACGGCATCATCAAAAGCACGAAATCTCCAACAGTGAAGGCCAAAGTAGTGAAACAACACAGAAAGAAAATCAACTTCCAAGTTAGACATTTTGACCACCATGTAAACTTCAGATAATATTTTAGTCTAAATTCCCTTTCGCTGGGATTTACCGATTATTAAAAGGTTTTTCATTTGGCGCGGAGGGTAACCTGCTGAAAGTACAGTTTGTGGTTCTATACGGTATGTAAATAGCCTGCGAAAAAGCTTTCCATTTGGATGGAGGAGTCGCGGGAAGTCGCGCGTGCAGTATGCAAACACCAGGATCTATCCAATAGCAGAAACTTGTCTTTGTCAGGATATGCGGTTGAATAATTTTTTTCGTTTTGCATTAACTGATTACTACTTACAGCATTAAATTACAAGATTACATAAAATTTTTCTGCGATAATATACAAGTACAATGTTCATGATTAATTTGTTGCCATCATATGTCGTGTTTTTCTCCGTTAAAATCCATAATCAGCTCTGACGTATATAAGCCAGCTCCAGGTTGTTCAAAAGGTGGTTAACGCTATTCACCGGATAAATTGATCTCTATCTACTAGAATATTTATGCACTGGATAGTGATTTATCCGGTGGATAGCGCTATCCAGCTTTTGCAGAACTGGGGCCATAGTTGAATCTCAGCTTCGTTGTAAGCTTTACATTCTTTCTTGGGTGCAGACTTTCTTGCAATTTGTACATTTTATTTCTTGTCCTTTCTCTCTCATCACGTTTCTGGTTGCTCCAGGCAGCTGTTAACCCCTTTAGTAGGGGTCATACATTTCTTTAAACGGGGTTGTGACGCTTATGCGGTTATGTAGATATTCACAGCAATCTCAGCCATTCACATTCTTAGTTGATAGTGATGTACAAGGAATTTATGGAGATGCATCAGCGTTGGAGGGTTTAACAATCTTGTACGTGATAAGGTATTCTGGATACGCCTGTAAACAACAACAAAGGAAACAAGTAGGTAGTGTGTCAGATAATTAAGCAAATAGCACATCGATTAAAAAAAAAGACACTTGCATTATATTATTATAACCAAATCCTGTATTTGCATTTTTTTCAATAGCTCATATCAACAAGCTTAAGTGAAGACGTTTCTGGGCGACGCACGTAAACCGAGGTGGCTTTTTTTGCGCCCTTGGACAGCGGTTTTGCCCAAATTTTAAGGCAGATCGTCTCTATAAGAGTGAACACATAGAAATTTGGTAGCGTCAAGGCATATTAAGAGGGACTCGGATCTCACTTCCGGTTGATGTGTGTCCCTCAAAATGTCTGTGCTTAAGCTTCTTTATGTCAGAGGAGCGCCTGTTCCCCGCGGACAACACTGAAAACCTCAAAAATAAAGGTAACTACGAATTTCTCACGAAAGACGGCTTTGATACGTCCACAAATTAGCAAGCCTCATGGTGCAGAGGTTGGACGGTATGAAGATTCTGTTGCATGCAAATTTAGCTTTTGTCATTCTGGCCCAAAAATGTATGCCAAAGTCGCACCCAATATAATCGATTGTAGACTGCTTGCAGTCCGCCTTTTCTCTTCAAATCCATCTAGTTCTTATCTGAGCCAGGATGATTGCAAACAACGACGCTCCTAGCATTCTCTTAAACGACAGCCACAAGTGCAACGAGAAAAGAAAACACAGCTCTTGACTAAAAAGCAAGACATACCTGTTCCCCTCTATACACCACGTATTCGGCAAACGACAGCCCTTCTGAGCTGGGACGTCCTATAACTGAATGATGACCGGGAGGTGCGTGCGCCATCTTGACGGCTGAAAACTGGTAAAATGGCTTACCAAGGACCACACGACATAAAAGAAGTTGCCTGCCAGTTAAAAAACATTGCGTTGATAAGATACGAACTAGAACGAAAAAAAATTCCATTGGATTCAAATTCACATCAGGCGGAATTCATATAAATCATTAATTATATTAATTACTTATAAACTGCGACAAAAGAAGTGTGGCTTAAGTATCCCAATCAGAGTTGTAATTGATTAACGAAAACCTTGAGTGAAGCGGATAATGAGATATTTTTATGTTACAATTCTGGAAGGGTGTCTGATGCAAGGTGTTTTTTTGGTTGTGAGCGGGTACCATAATTCGTCCTGGTTATCTGTAACAAGAACGCGCTTACAGCGGCATACAGGTCTCGCCTGCTTGGAGATTAGATCGAGAAATGAGGAGGCGATTAATTCTACAAGAAACATGATTTACTCGCTAAAGGTTTTTTACTTCCTACTTTATCGACGCCGATACTTTTTATTTGTTTCTGAATTGATTTAATACGTGTGTTAGCGACAAGCAAAATTACCTCTGCCATAGCAAGCTTAGACTGTTCACAGTCTTCTGTTTTTCCGTAAGATCGTCGAGATCGAGCGCTTTCCGTTACGGGCTGCCATCTTGCAAGAATGTCAAAACTACTGTCCCCTCGGTACATAAGACGCGCCATATCTCGACGATCTCACGGAAAAAAAAGGGGACTATGAACAGTCTATAGCAGGCTTTACGCGTGTTAGCCTGCGAACAGTAGACGTATTTCCTGTAGTCGCTTTTCTCCCTCTGAAAATAGGAGAGGAGAGAGGCGACTACCGGAAATACGTCTGCTGTTCGCAGGCTATACGCGTGTATAAATGCATGAAAATTCAAGGGCCTCGATTCCAGAGAAATTACATCATCACCAGTATCGAAAAAGTGATTTACATGGCACGTCATTTCAATCATCGCCGAAAATAAATCGCATGCTCATCAGAAGACTCATTTGCATACAGTGAAAGTTTACAACACCCGACCATTGCAATTTTGCTAATTCAGATTCTTATTTTTTCCGACCACTCAGTAGTGTTCACTCGCTCCAAAGTGATCAACGCTTTCAAGCGATAGAGTTCGTGGGCCGACACGTTTCGGAAAAGCTCTGAATTTAATCTTTCCTAAGCTTTCTTCGCAAAACATGCGTGGCTTCGATCACACAATGATTCTTAGTCCTTGTTTCCACGGTCTCCGCAAGGAACGCCTGGCACAATGACCTGCCTTTTGTGTCCTAGATGTACGACCAAAAATTCCGGGGGATTCTTCCAGAAAAATTGGGAGGGGGTGGGTGGCACGCTTCCTGAAACCCTTACCCTATTTCAGACCAAAATCTGTGATTTTTCCTGCCCTATTTCAGACCTGATCAAAAATTTGATACCCTATTTAAGACCTGAAGACCTGGAGCCCGGCGCGTGACAGGAGCGCGTGACAAGCTGTTACGGTACGTTCACGGTCAAAAGGGAAATGGTCCTATCGCCAAATGATGAAGTGGCAGCTAATTCTTCTCAAAAACAGATCCAATTAAAGACTAGAGTACACAAACCATACCCTATTTCAAACCAAAACGGCTAAAAAAAACATAACCTTTGGCGCGGCACATACCTACATAGCCTTTTTATTATTTCATAAAAAATTCATTATTTTCACTGAGGTATGTAGGTTTTGCTACATATCTGCTTTGTGGGACGTTGTCCATATTCTAATTTCGCGCCTTAAAATTTCTAAAAATATCCTGGTCTGTGACACGAGCGCATGAAAACGGCTTACTTCGAGTATGGACTACTATAGAGGTCTCTTCAGCCTAGTCCCTAGGCATTCTCGCCTTGGTAAATCCTGGACTCTACCGTGAGCTGTGACGTCACCGAAAGATACTCGCCCGCTCTCTCCCAGACTTCGCCCGGACAAGGGATCAAGAGAGAACGCCTCTGCTGAGGTCTCTTAAGTCTTTGGCTCCACTTGTATATCAAATGCAATTAGGGATATCTGCAGTTAAATGGCGGTTGGTGGGGCTACTCTTGGTGGAGCTTTTCTTGCACTGAAGTGTTGTTAAATGCACAAGCTCTTTTTTCGCCATTAATACTGTTTAACCATTTCATAACATGAGCTTGGGATACGTGTGTTGTCTAGACTGGTGATTGAATTCCGACTCACTACACGTCCTATACCCATCAGTTGATTTTTCTGCCCGGCCTCCGTTAACTTATGGACCCCATTTCCCTGTTATTCCCTTCCCCTTTGTTGCTTCTCTCATCCATTTCGGTTCCGCTTCATTTCAATTCACATGGCTGCATTCATTTTGTATACCGCAGGGGGAGGGGAAGGGGGGGGGGGAGGTAAAGTGCTTGATGGCTCAAATAGCATACACAACTTGAAAAACGCGTCACCAGTTTAAAATTTGCTCTCTGGTGATTGTATTAAACTGTACAACTTTAAGGCCAGAAAACACATTGCACATCTACATGTTCAAGAACATCCCCACTAAAGATAGTCAGTTCCCTCAGTTGCCGAAATCCTTTGAGATGGAATTTGGACCTTAAAAAGTAGAGTGCTTGTACTTTTATATCCTCTTCTTTGCATATTTTTTATTTCGCAAAACTCAGTGAACGTTTGGTTTACCTATAGATCGTTTCACTGTCACGCAAGAAAAAATTAAATTGGACACCGTCTGGTGGAAGAAGCCAAGAAAATGACATGTTATAAAAGACTAATATATAAACAATTTATCCAAGTCTCAGGTCTTTGTGGCCCACAGTTTCTGAGTTATTTGCCGAAACGTTTCACGCACCTTTGTAGAGCTTTATATGGAGACGCCATATTGGTGCACCCTTTTGGTGCACCAATATGTCCGCCGGAAATCAACAAAAACATCTGGAGTTCACTTTTTCTATTAAAGCTCTTTCTATTCACTCGAGAAGTAGCATACGTACGCATAAACATATCTTCTAATACTTGAAGAGGTTATACTGCTGAAAATCAAGAGGAGAGACTTTTTTTCAACGAGACAGCATTCCTATTTTGGTGTCACGCAATGTGAAAACTCGGAAGTTCTAATTGCTGTATTTTCAAAATGAAACATGCTACGGAAATGGAAACTTGTACAAAGATTTACTTTTTGTTCGTCTTCAACCTAGTGTACATAAAAATTCGTAAAACCTCGCTATTTTGACTTCACAATTTGATGACGTCACAGTGAAAACCATCTATTGTTCCTAGTTTTGTATTTGGTCACGCTGCACCCAAATCACGTGATATCACCCATACCATACCAGATCGATAGGCTAAGCTTCTCTATCTCCAAAGACTCTTGAGAACGTCCTGTTGCCGGACGGCCACGATGCTCTTCTGAACCTCCATGATCAAGACATTATTTTTTGCGTCTTCTTAAAACGTAACCAGTCAAACGACACAACCACACGTTAATCACCACTACCGAAGTATAACTAGACCAGCCAAAGCGACGGATGTCCGAATAAAACGAAGGATTTTCAAAGATTGTACCGATAATGGCGATTTCGAATTTAGTGTTGACCCGACAAATTTATTCTGAAGAGAAAAACGGCGCGCATGCGCATTATCGTGAACCAGTCCCTTTAACTTTGCTACCTTTCCACTGTACTATGGATGTTTTACAGCTTTTCGCAAATCTTAAGAAAGAAGCTGAATGCCCACTGTGTTTGGATACAGTGAACGATCCCAAGACTTTGCCATGTATTCACTCATTCTGCCTAGAATGTCTTGACAAACATGCAAATTTTGCAAGAAGACAGCTACAAGCGACAATCAAATGTCCGGTTTGTCAGACATCTTTTCAAATCCCCAAAGGCGACTCGTTCAAGAACTTGCCCACATCTTATCATCTCAACCGACTGGTGGATGTTCTCGCTCTTAAAGATGGCGGCGCACAGGCCCAGAAATGCGGCAGTTGTGATGAGAACAACACCGCTTCCTCTTACTGTTTCGTGTGCCAAATATTCCTCTGTACTGTTTGTTTTGAAGCTCATCAGCGACTGAAGACTACAAGAGGTCATCGCAATGTTGTGATGGAGAAATTAAAAGTGCAAGATGTTCAAGAGTTGATCCACAGACCCGTGATATGTTCACAGCAATATCACGAAAATCAACCGCTGGAATTTTATTGCGAAGAATGCAAAGTTCTTATTTGCCAGAAGTGCTGTATAGTAAGCCATAATCGACACACCATAACAGACACTCAGAAAGCCGCACAAGTAAAGAAGATGCAAATGAAGGACGCTTTGGAAAAAGTGAAAGCGGAAACTCTAATTTACGAGAACGAAATAAGGAAACAAACCGAGCTAATGGAGAAAACCAAAAATGAGATTTTGTCAGCGGAAAAGAAGATGGCAGATGTCGTGGAGGAACGTATCCGTGAATTACGGAAACATGAGAGGGTCATGAAAGCCAAATTTGCTGAAATTTATGATGCGCAACAAAAACATCACGCAACACAACTAGAAAACTTTGAGTTGGTTTTGACTCAACTGCAAAGCTGCATTGAGCGAGGTGAAAGCGCACTAGAAAGAAACGTCAGCGCTGAGATTCTTCAAACAAATCAGATCATTGTTGGACGCTGTGAAGAACTTTTGAATGTAACAAAACCTGACATTTATAAGCCACCACACGTGCATTACCTAGTCGAAAATCAACTGAATCCGGGTTTTGATCGAATTGTGGTTAGTAATACAGATCCCTTACTTTGCTTAGCAGAAGTGGACAATCAAGAACTTGTAAGAGAAAAAACCGTGGCTAATTTCATCATTGTAACTAGAGATTCAAGTGGAAAGCAGTGTTATCATGAAGATGATCAAGTCAAAGTCAACATTATAACTCTAGCAGGTGATCAACTGGAAACAGAGATAAAAGACAGCAAAGACGGCAAATACACAGTAACATACACACCACAGTGTGTTGGACAACATAGAGTAGAGATCCAAGTTAATGGACAGCCGCTGACTGGTAGTCCTTGGGTTGTGCAGGTGATTCCGCATCATTATCAA